ACGATGGGATGTCAGATCATTATGCCATCCTACTGTCTTTATTACTCTTGTTACTCCATTCATCACCATAATGTCTGTCATTGAATGTAGAAAATCGAGTAGCAATGTATGAATGACTCCATAGTTGTAGATGAAAGCTTTTTTCGCCTACCATATATGACAATGAATCACATCAACCCAAAAAATGTGACCGAAAGTTGTAGTTTTTCACTTTCTTGACACCTTTTACTGTCACTTGAGTGATGCTCTCCTTGACGTTTCACATAAATTTTCATCAAAAGTTAAGGATACGTGATGGTTTCAACGAGTGGAGATCTCATTCTACTCAGTTCGAGAGGATGTAGATGGAGGTGTCGTTTTCTTCCTCACTTAGTATTCGGATCTTATTTTAACGAAGGTTGATGCGTATGGTTAATCTTTTCTGGTTGTGGGTTTCCAGGAGTTTCTCAGCTTGTCTCATACCTCGCAGATCCAGCTAGTATTTGGCTCTCCTAGGATACACAGATAGATGGACAGATAAAAACGAAGAGAATTTCCAGTCGGTATATTTCCAGGAATCATCACCAATAATTGTGATCCCAGCTCGCCCGCTTAATCAAGAACCAATCAACTTTTTTTTCCAGAGCTATCGAGGCCGCATCAAAACACCGCCAACTGTGACATTCCTGTCTCCGAACCGACGGGAACAGACGCGGACACTGATTATCCTTCGGGCTACGACTGAGAGTCGCTGCAAGAAACAGGAAATGAACATTTTCCATTACCTGTCACTTTTGGCAAGGATTTAATCCAGATAGTCGGTGACGCGTCTGAGATTAACCGAGCTGGCGTTGGTTACCAGTGGCGTTAACCAAGGACGAAGAAATGAAAACTATTGGAAAGGAGAGCATGGAAAATAAAAATTGTGATATAAAAATATAACAAACCAATATGTTGAGTATTGAAATGAAAATTGAAATGTATGGAAGAATATTCATTATTCCAGATTATTTGGGATTTTCTCTGGGTGTAAATTTGAAAACTTCCAATGCGAATATCTCGCGAAAGAAAAAAGTTAGAAAAACGCCGTTTGGCGAAAATGCTAAAGAGTTAAGGGGAACTAGAACCACCATATTTCGGTCAAGGGATGAGTCACCCCGTCGGCGCGACACACCCCAACTTTGAAATGTCAAATGGCACTACCTTTTTTGTGATGCCTCAAATGAACGGTCTCAGTCAGTAGTATTCACCTGTACAAGACTTTTTTTCCACCCACTACAGGGTGTACGAAAAATATAAAGTCGAATAAAATAAAATGAATTGTGTTAAAAGGATATTTTATTTGATCAGATGTTCAAAATGCAGTCCATTCTGTTGTAAGCGATAGTATGATCGATGTTCAAATGCCATTCTAACATTCTGGAACACATCTCTTGGAATATATTGGCATTCTGCATTTCATTTTATTCGACTTCATGTCGTGGGTGGAAAATAGGTCTTGTACAGGTGAATACTACTGACTGAGACCGTTCATTTGAGGTATCACAAAAGAGGTAGTGCCATTTGACATTTCAAAGATGGAGTGTGTCGCGTCGACGGGGTGACTCATCCCTTTACTGAAGTATGGTGTTTCTAGTTCCCCCTAACTCTGTAGCATCTGTGCCAAACGGCGTTTTCCTAACTGTTTTATTCAGCGAGATTTTCGCATTGAAAGTTTTCAAATTTAGACCCTCGAATTAATGTTTTTCGTACACCCTGTAGTGGGTGGAAAAAAAGTCTTGTACAGGTGAATACTACTGACTGAGACCGTTCATTTGAGGTATCACAAAAGAGGTAGTGCCATTTGACATTTCAAAGTTGAGGTGTGTTGCGCTGACAGGGGGTTTCACTGAAATATGGTGGTTCTAGTTCCCCTTAACTCTTCATCATTTTTGCCAAGCGGCGTTTTTCTAACTTTTTTATTTCACGAGATATTCGCATTGAAACTTTTCAAATTTACACCCTGTATGATAAGAATATCAATACTATTTTATTATACGTGTAGTAGTAATGTCACTGCATTTGGAGAATTTTCCTATCAGAGAGCCTAAAGGAAAAATTCACTAGCTTGTCAGTGACAATTTGTATTGAATAAGGTTTGGAGAAGAAAAATAAAGGTATATAGAATGAATATCGACTTTTTACTTATCTTTGGAAGTTTCGGGAACGAATCTGCTACCGTTTTCAACCAAAAAAAATGGATTTTTGTATGAACAATCCTTATTTTTCTTGTCACTTCTCAGTTTTCAGTGACAATGGGCCTATATCACAAAAAAATTATATTTCATAATTCGATAGAACTCACCCAAACTAGCTCACCACCGCAAACCGTTTCTTGCTGTGAGCTCCCTACGTTTTATTAAAAATTATTGAAATCCCCGATTTTTCGGACCTCTGAAAACGAGGTGATGATGTGACGTCAAAACCCTAATACTGACACAAGACTATTCCAGACAGAGATGAATGATACATGATTTCTGACAGATTGAATTAGCGCGAGATCACAGTTGAAAGAATTAATTTATCAGTTGCCTCAGTCTCCGTCGGGCGTTTGGTATTTTCTTTTAACTATGGCGAGATGAGGTTTCTACGTCATAAGAAGGTCCCTTTTCGATCAAATTATGTCGTCAATCATTATTTATGTATAAAAGGATCATTATTAACATGGTTTGAGTTAAAGGTTCTACTAAGGTTTACACGCCCATTGGTGACGTTGGCAATCAAATGAGTTACAGGATGGTCTCATTAATTAATCTTGAATTCAACATTTTCATTTTCAGATTTTAATAGTGAATATACAGTATACCTTGTGTTTGGGGAGAGTCTTATATACAGGTGAAACCAAGAGTAAGTAAGTAAGGACGAAGGAATATGAGTACAATATAAAGAAAAGACACATCGACAAATAGTTTAAGGGTGTGTTCGGGTGCTGCACTCCAAATATGGGAACAGTATTCCAGGACAGGTTGGATCTGTGCCTTATAGATCATAAGCAGCTGACTAGAAATGAAATAGCTCCTGGCTCGAAACAGAAAACTGAGTTTTGAGGATGCACTTTTATCAATTGAGCTCACGTGATTTTCCCAAGAAAGGTTATTGCTGATAGTAATAGTCAAAGATATGGTTACTCCTGACAAGCTTATGTTGGGCTTCTCTAGAGGAAAGGCATCAGTTATTTGTGCAAATACAAAAATGATTTACTCAAGAGAATGTTACTTAAACTTGATGAACAAAGCAACAGAGTGCAAATGTTATTCAATCATCCTAATGAATTCCATTATCTATCTATCCGTCATCATGAATATAGATGAAAATAATAATCCTTGCTTCTCCTCCATCTCTATATACAAATGAGAATGAACTGGCGAAGCAGCGGAAATAAAAATAATCCGGAACACCCTCGGCAATGATTGAGATTCGAAGCTGGAATACTACGAGCGAAAATGAAAGGAAATAAACTTGTTTTTGAAACAGGAATATGCCGACACGACTCTAAAGCTACTTATAAATTCAGTTCTGCCTCGCCTGACGATTTTTAATTCGATACTCGAATTCGAACTTTTCCGGAAATGCAAATATTGCGGATGCATTCAGGATGAGCTAGAGCCATTTGAATACTTGATTTATCTTTCCCTGAAACTGGTGAGAAGTACGGTACCATTGGGCAACAGGCACCAGCAACAACCATACCTTGCGAATATGTCGATAAACATGGTGTTTCAAAAATCGTTATGAAGATTCCATTAGCTTCTTTCTCAAAATAAATATGAATAAATCCAAATACATGATTATAAAAGGTAGGCGACAATTATTGAACGATTGTCATCGACGAAAAACTATCTTCTAGAAAGCACATTGAATATATATCGAAACAAATATCGAAAAAAAATTAATTCGCATATTCGCGGGAATCAATGTTACCAGGTGGCGCTCACTTTTCATCGTTCCATGTCAAAGCTACGTCAAAACTAAGGGAAAACAAACTCAATCCTCACTCAATCCCATTACTGTGTACTGATAAGAGTGATAAGTTTTCAAATTTCTCAACAGTAATTGTCAATATTCGATCGAAAAAGCTAATAATGCCTGTTGTAGATGTTCTTTTGGCAGATAGTTTGCTCTATTTAGATAGAAAAAGCCGACCAGTAGTGGCAGGAGAAGCAGTTCTCCGTGTTAATCATGTGATTTTGTGTGAGGTAGGAGACTTCAACAAAAGGCACATTTTTGCACTTTGTCTACAAACTTCGGCGATGAAATCTTTCCCACATGAAGTAAAGTTGAAGTTGGGGTCCAGAGGAACTCCTGTAGAAAAATGGATTTGTATTTGTTCATGCAACGCTGGACAATCTGGGTATTGTAAACATGTTGTAGCTGTTCTTCTTTATGTCAATTGATTTGCTCGTCATAATTAGTTTGAATTGTTTGAACTATCTCAAATTCTTCACCCCTTCACTGTTCATTAAACTAATAAAAATTTAATAATGTAAAAAAATTAACCAACTCCACCATTATCACTACCAACAGTGCCAACACTTTATGTCATTGACAAGTTTGACAACTACAGCTACAGCAAGCTGTGTGCGATGTAGTCTATGCACTTTATCCATAGACAACAGTTTGTTTTCCCCCAGTTTGAAGTTCGTATTATGTAATCTAGATGTCGCCCACCTCGTGAATCTCGCGATTACTGCTCTTCTATTCTGTTTATGTGCCATGACACAGATATCCAAAAATTACAAATTCTACAAAATAGATGTATGCGTTCTCTTCTGAGGTGTAATAGGTTCGAAAGTGTAGAGCATATGCAACTACAGTTTCAGTGGATGTCTGTTAAGAATCTTATAAAATTTCGAACGCTGATTTTTATTCATATAAACTAGTCAATAATATGCTTCCTGAATTCCTGTCAAGGAACCTACAGTTCCGGTCTGACATTCACTAATACCCGTCAAAGGAACCATATACATATTTAAAAAACAAAACTCATGAGCACTAAAAGAAGCATTTTTAATATGAGAATTACAGCTTACAACAAATTGCCAAATGAATTGAAATGTGCAGATACAACCCATCAGTTCCGACAAAAAATGGAAATCACAGAAAAAAATTCATTACATGTATGACAATTCCGAGTGAAAGTACAGATTAAAAGCTGTTTTACATTGATGTGATAATGAACTGCTGAACGCTTGGAACGTAAAATCGAAGTTTTCGAATGCTAAGTTTTCGAATGCTTCAACCGATTTTCAATTAATTTACAGTTTCTGAATGTTCGTTTCATCAACTATCAAAAATATATGGAAATGATTATTCTGAGCCGTACAAATTTTCAAAAAATTAAAAAGTTTCCCGTTTGGAAGAGAGATTTTCCTGATATTTTCTGATGTGAAAACATATTGCACCATCTCTTTTCTGCAAGATTGTTCCTCGAAGAGCCCCATGTATCAATGAATATGTCAATCATGCATTATTCCACGATTCTTGACCACTGTTTGAACCAGAATGACAAGAAGCATCAAATTATGCATTATCTTAAGTAAATATTCATATATCAGTAAATGAGTGTGACAATTCCAAAAATTTCAGAACCGTTTCGATAGTGCGATATGTTCTTCACCTAAAAAAATTAGAAAATGTTCCTTTCTGCACGGGAAGCTCATGAAAAACTGCACATCTTTGATTATCATCCTGTATAATCTCATTCTGGAGAGATAAATTTGAATTGGTTCGATAGTCAATTGAATAGTAATTTACGTAACATGTCCAGAAAATACTGTTTTTTTGGACGAGTAGACAAAATTCTACTGCGAGTCCAAGAAAATTGTTTTTGGACGTGTTGCGTTCACCATTTTTTCAGCAACCATATGTAGAATAAGGATTCAATGAGACACATCTCCATATTATTTTTCTTGGTGGAATACAATTTCTTCTTCATTATAATTCTTATTTGTATCGAACACTGGAATTTGAAAAGAATACCTGTACCTACCTTCTAACTGCTACATTGGAAATTTCGAATGGACATTTTCAAACTCACTATCGCTACTGCTTTCGATAGTTTCTTACCATAATTGCAACGAAACTTTCAAAAATCCAGATGTCCACTTATTTCATGTCAAATAGCTGTCGGTCGATATTTTGCTGCTATGGTAATTATCATCTGCATTTATCAAAACCTAATCTACCAACAATTTCATAGTTACAGCATATACGTATTAATAATCAATACGGATAATCTCTATCTGTTTCCATAGCGAAACATGAAGCCGATTTTTGAAGACAAATGACTATCCATAAGGAAAAGTGAGATACTGCGCATGATCAAATACGCGAGTTCAAATGACAATCATTCTCATTCATTCTAACCTAACTCATTATTTTGAATATTTTGACATGAGTGACATGACATTTATGGACTATGTTTATGTTTTATTATTAGGATTTTCGGGATATAATTCATTATTTCAGGATGATTTAATGATTATGAATGATACAGGACATGCTAGTGAAAATATAAATTCTGAAAGAATGGAATCATTTATTTATTTTTGTCCACAGGTCTTCATTATCTTGGTAGGTAAGTTTTTCAAATGATGAAGTGTTACAAAATTACCCTTGAGAATATCAAATGCTAATACTTACATTTGGTTTCCCTATGATATGTTCATCCCATTTTCATTATCCCATTGCCTCAGTAGGTACTCGCTTTTCAATTTAAAAATCAGGAATAGCATAAATGAACCATTATTGATATGATGCATTCCTAGATAAGTACATATACAATTTCACATGAAACAGTTCTGGTCTATTCATACACTGATAATAAATGAACAATTATATCTTTTTAAACACCCTGAAATCACTGAATTTATCGAAATCTATGGATACCACTGATGGAAAATCGCTAATAAACATGTTCGCGAAACGTAAACAAAAACAACAGAATGTCATGACCTTTTGAAACGATCAGACACATACTGCTTTGATTGAAAGGCTAGTAAACGTCATTGTCCACCGAAACGCATGTCTTTGATGACTACTATAATAGCGCATGCGTATCATGCCACCAAATCCTTATGGATATTCATTTGTTTCATATTTTTGGCTTCATCCTGGCACCCGTTATGATCCGTATTGTTTATTAATACGTATATGAGTTACAGTGACAACAACGAAAAAATGCTACTTTCTCAATGAAAAAGTGTCCGGAAAGTGAGTTTTTCCCGGACGGTTGCCGAAAGAATTGGTGCAGTCAACATGTATGGTTAAACTGATTGAAAAATGTTGATTTTACGTTCTGATAGTTGAGTCATTGTCCATCTAAATTAAAACCTAGTAGGTGACCTAGTGCAAGGAGGTACTATAGCTCTCGCATACTAACTACCTATGACTAGGTTGTCATCTACGACAATGGTTGAGCAGTTCATTTTATCCTTCAGCCGACGATGCCACATATAATTCAGTCTCTGACAAAAACAACACTGGACGTCACAAAGAAGATTTGTTTATCCCCCGACGGTCGGTAAGGTAGTCACCTTCACCGCAGATACAGACGAACTGCTGACAGTGACAGTGAAACTGGCGATGAAGACGTTGATAATCGTCACCAGAAACACCCCGATGATGACGTAATTGTTAATGCTCTTGGCCAGCGCGTTCTTGGACCTCCCCCGGATGTCCAGGCGACCCTTGATGATCAGGGCCATGCCGATCACGACTTGCAGGAACAGGGATACTGAGATCAGGATCAGGGTGAAGTAGTAGGTGGGACTCTGCCTGTTGAATTCCACCATGTAGCGTAGCTGGTTGGCGTTGGCTGTGATCAGGGCTATGTCCATCATACCTATAAAGAACGGTCATCTTCACCAGAGAATAAGATAAGACAGAACAGGATACTGCTACTGTCTTCTATGTTCTAGAATCTAGATGATGAGATAATGACCCTAACAGTACGGTTGATTAGATATGTTTGAGTCAACTAAATATATCGATTTGGAACCGAGAGATGCAAAAGTACTGTTATATTCTTCTAGAAATGTTATGATCTAGTAAAAACTTTACAAACGATAAGATTTCCACAAAATTCTCAAACACAAGACATGTTTCGCTAACACAGTAGCTTCGTCAGGTGATATACTGGTACGATGAACTAAACTAACCTTGACTTGCTTATATATCCTATTGTTCCAACCTGAATCTGTGGACAGATTCGATTAACCTTCATTTTCGGAAATTAGGCACAATACCTACATCAAAATACGTTGTACCGGATCAACTTGAAAGGGTTGAATTGATTGGTTGAGTAAAATGTTGAGTTTGTTGATTTCTAATGATCCAAAATGATTTAGTTTCATTCCTTCATTTTCTACGTGTAGAATTCCGAAATTATCATCAAAACTATGGTTTTCTTCTGATATATGGTTGGCGTATGTTGAATTTGTTTTCTTCCTCAAAAAATTCAGCTTATGTTCATGAATGCGCTGATTGAACGTACGTCCTGTCTGACCGATATAAACCTTAGGACAAGATCCACAGTTGAGTTTGTATACCCCTGATTTTTCGAATTCAGAATGTTTTATGTCAATGAATGAATAAATAAATAAATAATGGGATTTTCATCTTTTGTAATAATCATGTCACTAACAGGCTCTGATAATAGATCATCAGTCTCAGACAGACTAATACCATTTGCTGTAAGTGATTTAATTAATGAGGATTACATAGATTATAGCTATTCTGACTGAACTTGCCGATTTATATTATATTATTATCTAGAATGTGAATGATCATATTGGATGAACAAAATAACCTCTGAATTTGGAATGCCTTATTCGTGATCAAATCAATAGATCAGAATGATAACTATTCAGGGTATCCCAGTTAAAAAATAAATCGATATTTTTCATGATGACTCACCTTGTGCTACTGTCTTTTTAGCTGCGTAACTATTGGACGGTTTTTTCAAAGCCTGTTCCTCAGTGGCATCAATGTCAGTTACCATTGGCACATCGTCTGGCTCTTCGTACGTTGATTTTTTCCTCCTTGGTCCATCTGCTTCGTCAAAATCCTCCTTTCTTTCTTTTCCTCTGGTTTCTTCTTTGCCACTTTCGTCATCTTCTCTATCTTTATCGCTATCACTTTCCTTCCCATTGTCTGAAAAGAAATACTTGCTCAGCTCTTTTTCATTGAGTGAGTATCAATATCACTGAGACTAGTTCAATTGAAGAGGGAAAAGTTATTCCTTGATGTATTCCAAGACAATAGTTCTCGAATCGGCCACAGCAATGGGTACCTTGATGATTCAATAATATGAATTTATCCTATCATCCTACGATAATTATCTATTAATTTGAATACATTTCTTGTTTCCATTATACTGACACACTTGCTCAATCCACCCTGTGGAATTGATTGAGGCAACAACAAAAGATAAAATCCAGGTCCGGCTTCACTTAAAATTCACAAATTCTTTCTGCCAGAAAACAACACCCTATACATTCGAATTTCTCATTTTTTTGCCATATCTGAAAAGAACATCAAAATTTCTATTCAACGATGTGCTTTTTATTCGTGCACAGACGATTTTAACTATTCATATTATGTTCTCAAAATATTATTTTTGCTCATTTTGGGGTACAAAATTGGAATCAGACGAGATTTATTAATTGTATTACTTCCTATTCAGTATACGTGAGTATTACATTCAGAAGAAGTATTTTATATCGTTCTTTGTTCCAGACTTAGTTGCAGGTCCGTCATCAAAACTATACAGGGCTTTTCACGATGAGCGTTAATTTGACGTTTTCGGCAAACCAGGCAACGGAGAAATCTGAAATTTCGATGGTATGTATGAATTAACATAATCTACACTACTGAAATATTTGAAACGATCCGGCCTTGCCGCTTCTACTTGAAAGTAGCAGCAACTTCGATTTTTCCAATGGGACACCCTGTATTTCATTACATTCTTGGATTCTTGCTGAACAGCAGAATTCATCGATTCAAAACATTCAAGGTCTAGCGGGACTGATAACTGAGATATAGGATGTGGAAAATCGAGATGTTTCAACTTTAGAAATGTTTTGTGTTGAAACTATTTATTATTGCATGGTCAAAACGGCTTCAATGTCCCTATCTCAACTTTCCATTCGATATTCAATTGAAACAGATACAGGGTGGTGCAGAAATCTGAATTATGAACCTTCCTGTATTTGTTTCGATTGAATGTCAATAGATACAAAGTTAAGATAGGGACATAAAAGCCGTTTTGATCAATAATAAATATTTTCGCAAAATAATTCTAAAATTGAAACATCTCGATTTTTCTCACTTTGAATATCTCAGTTATTAGTCCCACTAGACACCGAACTTTGTGAATCGATTAAATCAGCTCTTCAGGAAGCATCCAGTGTGTCCCATTTGAAAAATCAAAGTTACTGCTACTTTCGAGTAGAAGTGGCAACGCCGGATTGTTTCTAATATTTCAGACGTGTAGATCATGTTAATTTGTACATACCTTCGAATCTTTAGAATTATCCGTTGCCTGGTTTGCCAGAAACTTCTAATTAACGCTTATCGTGAAAAGCCCTGTATAGTTTTGATGACGGACCTGCAACTAAGTCTGGAACAAAGAACGATATGAACTACTCCTTCTGAATGTAATACTCACGTATACTGAATAGGAAGTAATAAAATTAATAAATCTCGTCTGATTCCAATTTTGTACCCCAAAATGGGCAAAAATAATATTTTGAGCACATAATATGAATAGTTAAAATCGTCTGTGGACGAATAAAAAGCACATCGTTGAATATAAAATTTGATGTTCTTTTCAAATATGGCAAAAAAAATGAGAAATTCGAATGTATAGGATGTTTTTCTGGCAGAAAGAATTTGTGAATTTTGAGTGAAGCCTGACCTGGATTTTATCTTTTGTTGTTGCCTCAATCAATTCCACAGAGTAGATTGAGCAAGTGTATTAATTTTTAAAAATATATACAGGTTGGTTGGAAAGTTATGAGAATGAAGATATGGACAAAATTGGTGAAACATCCTGTATCTCGGTTATAAGAAGTCGAAGACCCATCGATCATGGGTTTTTTGAAATCACCCCAGTGACCTATATCCACAGTTGAATTATTTTCCTTTCCCAATGAAACACCCTGTATATATGTACATACATACATATATATCCATTTGTTTATGTTCATAATGATATCTGAGAATATTCCTTTTCAATATTCAAAAGCTTCTTATTCAAAGAAAGTCAATGAAGTTATTGTTTGCCTGAGATGGCCTGAGATATTATGAAGGGTATTAAGTGTAACCTTTCTGTAGAAAGTACCCTCCGTTTTATTTATTACAATGTTTCCCTTGTTAGTGCTAAGTGCAAATTCTTGTGATTATGAACCGAAACAATATACCTGTTTCGTCTTAATCTTTTATCTTGCTGGGAAGGATGCTTTGTCGAAAAACTGCTACTCTAGGGGTAGCATTCTAGCAGTAACCATTGACGAAGTTCGAGCTCGAGTTTTGTGAAGTGATAACATTATTCCCTTCAAGGTAATAGAATGTATGATTCAGTGAATAATTAATGATATGCTTACTAAGCGAGCACTTTTATATACCAGGTGTTTTTGAAATAAGTGCACATATTCAGCACATTAATATGATACTGTCTAAGGACTATTTCCATGATATCAGATTTTTCCCAATTCTTCTAATTAACGAGAAATTTCATTCTCAAAATTGAACGAAACACGAGAGAAACATCAAATACCCAACTTTAAAACAATTCAAATGATTGAACTCCGCGTGATTGTGCCTATCGCATGGAAATTTCAACAGATATGACGTCAGATTTGCTACAGTGTAAAACTTTGGGTAGAAAAAGGGGTCTAACCTCAAATTTTATTTTGATCCCTAAATTTTTTTTATTAGTGCCATTCGATAGTACACGTCGGACTTTCTCAGTGTGTGAAATATTTGCACTTATTTCAATGCCACCCTGTATGAAAACAATGTATTGTTGACTTCCTCAAGATGAATCTAACATAATACTGTGTGATCTCAATCATCTATTTACTCATTGTGACTGTCCAGATGAAAGGTGGGATAAAAGACTTGAATTCTCACGTACCTGTTCAGTTTTTTCCAATTTTTTTCAATACTTCAAGATAAGGTCACATGTCTTCATAGATTATTGAACAAATTATTCGAAAATTATGTGTTAATAAGACCAAGTATGTGCTATCGTTGTATTCCAAATAGAATGTAGCCATGGCTGTCAGATGTATTCAAGTATTTCCAAGATTATATCAATGTTGATCAATATTTTTCGAAATCACTGGTTTATTTTGCAACATTATCGCCGAATATTCCAATTTATCTTCATAATATCGAACCAATATTGTCACAATGACTGACTGACGGAAGCATCTCTTCAGTCATAGCACCGTTATTAACTATTCGATTTTGACATACAAAGAAATAAATTAAATCACTCATGAGATACTATGAGTATATGCTCTGATCAATATTTCATCAAATTTCAACTTTCAAGTCAACAATTGTCAACTTCTTTTCTGAATGACACCAAATGTTTTTCTCATTTTCAATCTGTTCGAGATATTCTTTATGAATCCAATGATCTAAGACAAGATGACTTTTGGACAAAATTAATTCAAATAACAGATAAATGCCCGGTAGTTGATGAAATAGATATTTCAATAGGATTTTGGAATGTTCTTGTAAAAGTGACAGTAAATGTCACTGAAATGTTTTCTAAATGTACAGCCTATCCAGTTTTCGATGCTTTTTTTGTGAAACTGAAGATGGCCTAATCAGATTTTGCATATCTGTTTCCGTTTATGATACAGGACGATTTTAAAAACCCATACTCTTTGGACCCTCTCTATATCTACGAAGTTTCTCAGCAGAAATGTCAAATTGAAATCTCATTCCATAGAGAGTTTTACTCAGAATCCAGTGGCGTACTCAATTTTTATTTCGGGTTTTGGATATACGACTCAAATTTATGATTTTTTCAAAGGTACACCCTGTATTACATAAGATCATTGATTTTCACATTATTTCCTCTCCAAAATGATATTTAATGAGAGTTTGATTATAAAATTTTCGAAAATGCTCCAAAATCACTATAACATTGGATTTTAATAAGAAACCTCAAATTGAAGGAATATTTCCTGAAGTGGACAGAAACAATACCAACACTGACTTATTAACTAAACAATTTCCCTAACACACAACTGACATACTTTCTCAATAAGTGGCACAACAATCTTGAAGAACTTCGTGCAACAAGAGAGTCAGTTTTCCAGGAATTACAAAGACATCCATCGATGATTTTGAATGATTAAGACGTATTGAGAAAGTGTTTGGGGGAAAATGGACATCAATTTGAACAATTCAATGAATAAGTTACTGAATAATTTTGAAATTCAATAGTTTCAGGAAATATGCAATCTGGTACTTTTTCTAGATTGTAAACTTTTTATTATTATTTATTTGTTGCTATCAGAAGGACATTGTCGCAATGTTATTTCAACAATATCACAAAACTTATATCAGAAAAATATTTTTGTTATGTATTATGTTCAGTGGGTAGCATATCATCATTATAATGAACTTTGTCCACCATTACCAAGAATCTAAAGACGGAATCTCGATGTCCAGATTCATCCCCCTCAGATTTTTTTCAGTGAGATCATCTTAAACAAGAAGGGTAGGCCATGTACGAAATCTAAGAATATCGCTCGAATACAAAACAAAACGTAATTCGTCAGCTCACATGCTATTTAAACAGACCACAAAAATAGGATACTGTGATTTGAAAAAGAAAGGGGGTGTGTGCGAAGGGTTGGTTATCGAGGGATTGTTCTGATAACTGATGATTTTGCATGATTCGTCTGATTACACGATATACATAATGGGTACTTACTATTCAATTGCTTTTTTTGTAATACAAATAATAGAATTTAGAGTGATGAAAAACATCTACGACATGAAGGATGTGCGAAATAACATTATATCAAGACTGCGGCATAGTCAGGAGGGTTCTCTGTCTGATGTTTTTAGAATGTATTCTGAATTGGAGAATACATTATTGCTTGCCAGAGCTGGAGGATTGGAGTAACTCAATAGTTTATGAGTAGAGGTACCTGAGTCGAGCTGTCTTCTATTGTTCATATTAAGCCAGTTGCATTCCCTAAGTTTATGTGAAATATGATTATATTTTCTGATACCATATATTAGTCTACAGCAGCTTTTCTGGACTGGGAGTGTATTTTGAAAAAAAAAAAAATGTTGTGGTATCTACTGAGGGGTCGTTTAGCAAGGAATAGTTTCATTGAAAAATGTTTGTGCAAGACTCTTTCTCATTTGAGCCAGTTCTCTCAGAATGTTGATAATGTCACTCGTTCTCGCATGTGAAAATGGAGGTGGGACACCCAGTATATGAAATTCACTTGGTTCATTTTTGCTAAAATCAAAATGGATATATGTAAGGATCGATTTATACATAGTGGGTTCTCAGTTTCAACGATTGCAGATGACTTGGTACGCCTCAGCAGCCCTCCTCTGCGCCCTCCTGCTGGCCTCATCAGCCTCGAAAACCCCCTCCTCCCACAACGATACGCCTCCCTCTGACGTCACTCTCTCCATCACCTGGAACGCCTACCACAAAGTAGCCTTAGGAACGGCGATCCTCGTAGCGGGCTTAGGTCTGGCCGGAGTGCTGGCCTTCTTTTTCCCCCTGGTGGCATACAGGGTGTGCTACTTCCTGGGAGGCTGCCAAAACACCATGGACTACTACGTGGACAGACTCGTGGCAGATGAGGTGGAAGGAAGTGGGAAGGTGAAGAGATCAGTAGACTATTTCGAGCCTGTTTTGATGACGTTGGCTAAGGCGTATCAGAAGTACGGAGATGTGGAAGATCATGGAAGGCAAGAACGAAACCGTTCGGATGATAGTGAGAATTGACTCTAGGCACTACAGGGTGTCTGAAACTTTACCTTCAAGTTCGTTAGTTTATGCACTCGAATAATAAAATTCGCGTGAAATAATGTATACAGAGTGAAGCTGTAACTTCTGGATCATTTGAGATCGTTATGTGAAATTTAGTGGAAAGAGAGTATACCATATAGTTCATTCATTCATAAAAACGAACTCCATTTCCGGTTCAACGAAAACCGACCGCAACTCTTGATCTTTGAAGAGGACTCCCTTATAATTTTTCATTTTTCATACCTCTACCAACAGCAGTTTTTACCGATGAAAATGTCTGAAGGAAACATTTTCAATTGGTTTTCATCTTTTAATAGTGACCATATATTTGATGGTTGAAAATATAGGACATGGCTCTTTAGCTCATTTCAAGAAGAAAACATCATATGAACATATCCCCTAAACTTCTCAACTTTCGAATTATAGAGTGTTGACATTTTATTTTCTCTTTATTGATTGAAGAAACTTTCACAATGTGGAAAACTGTCACGTTTATGGAAACTTGTCAAAATAAGACCGCAACTTTATCGCGAGAACGGTTCGTCGTACCGAGAAAAATCAGGGAGCCAAATTGTTGCAACAAAAATAAGGATTTCCAAAGATGATCCTTATTCTTGGAAAATTCTAGGGCGTACAATATTTTTTTCGAAAAATCTCCAGGATACATCCCTCAAATGGCGTACTAGAGGGATACTGGTAGAGATATTGAAAAATCTCCTGCTTTGAAAATGCCTATTGGTTCTTAGTAGGTGCATTAGGAATTTTATGGAAATATCTAGAACGGTTTTGCAGTTATGAGTTTTTCTTAAAATGTCAACATATCATATGAACTCTTCTTCTCAATATAAGCTAATATCCTTCATTTTCAGCCATCAATTAAATCACACCCTGTATAGTAATCGAGTTCCAGGGTGCCTAGTTCGTCAATTAGAATGTGACAGTGATATACAATGAAGTTCCAAAACGGGCAATGATATTTTATATTATCTGAAACTGAATAGTAACGATTTAACCGATATTTTGCAAAAACAATCATAAAACCCCCTTATCTATTCCACTGAAAATAGTAAATATTGACATATAGAGTTTATTTTGATGTTTTCTTCTTCTGCTTCAAAAAGCAGTCGAAATGTCTTGGACCATCATTAACAATTTATGGGCTTTGTTGAAAGATAAAAACTGATTTGAAAATGTTTCTTCTGACATTTTGATCAGGGAAAGCTGCTGGTGTATGTGAAATAAGATATCCTGAATCCAAATCTACAAAATAATACAGGAAATTCTATTTGGGAATCAGAAAATAGGGCTGTTTCTTAAAATGTCAACATATCATATGAACTCTTCTTCTCAATATAAGCTAATATCCTTCATTTTCAGCCATCAATTAAATCACACCCTGTATAGTAATCGAGTTCCAGGGTGCCTAGTTCGTCAATTAGAATGTGACAGTGATATACAATGAAGTTCCAAAACGGGCAATGATATTTTATATTATCTGAAACTGAATAGTAACGATTTAACCGATATTTTGCAAAAACAATCATAAAACCCCCTTATCTATTCCACTGAAAATAGTAAATATTGACATATAGAGTTTAGTTTGATGTTGTCTTCTTCTGCTTCAAAAAGCAGTCGAAATGTCTTGGACCATCATTAACAATTTATAGGCTTTGTTGAAAGATGAAAACTGATTTGAAAATGTTTCTTCTGACATTTTGATCAGGGAAAGCTGCTGGTGTATGTGAAATAAGATATCCTGAATCCAAATCTACAAAATAATACAGGAAATTCTATTTGGGAATCAGAAAATAGGGCTGTTTCTGGTTAGACCGGAAGTAATGTAACAAGTTTCTCTTTCCAATGAATGATCTCGAATTATTCAGAAGTTACATCAGCACTGGCCGTTCAATATGATACTTTTATACCATGGAGGTTGCAATTTTTTTCGAATTACTCGTACATGAGAATTATTGTCTTTCAGTACCTACCTACTTATCAGTATGTATTTTTAATTGAATAAAAAGGAATTAAATACATTCATCATCATAACAAATAAAAATATATCGTTCTTTATCTGTGGGGTGAGTTTTTATTAGTCGAGAGACACCAGTTTGTATTATTTGCAACACTGTTGATTTTTATTTTCCACGAGGTATTATCTACAGGGTGTGAATGAATAACTGCAAAATAATGAAGATGTGATTCCTTATCATATCATATGGAAAAAAAGTTCCATGTTATTATTTACAAAAAACTATCATATTGAGAAGACGTTTTCTGAGTAATGAATGAGAAAACGGTTTTTCATGAAGAAAACATTATCAAAATCGACAAGTAATCCCCTCACGATTTTTTTTGAATTTGTTCATTCACACCCTGTATAGATAATCTGATGATGAAAATACATGAATGAAGCAATACATAATCTCACAAGTTATTACTGAGTGATACAACTCACCACTATCTGTACTTTTTCTTCTAGTAGTTTGCTTTGCAAAATTTTCAGCAACGTATGTTTTGCCAATTATGTCTTCATTCACAGCAGATATAGTTGATGAAGATCCTCTCAAACCTTGAAGAATTGAATCATAGATCATAAATCGATATTTTTTTCATTTAAAAATTTGTTAAAATGAGTGCGGAATAATTGATCAATACTATTCCAATTCCATTAGTATGGCAGAACCCCGAACCACCCATCTATATTCATACAGGGTGTATCCAAATTACACCGAAAAAATTTGATTGAAATGGTGATTGTGTGTGATGAAAACTATGGTGGGTATGTGGTATAAAAATGAAAAAAAAAAAGGCTTTCTCTAAACTTTCATGAGATATAATAAATTGGGCTTCTCAGCCATAGTCTTTGAAAAGAAAAATTTCATTGAAAATAATAAGAAAATATATCTTAGTGGTTGACTATTTCAACACTTCCTAAGCATACTTCAAGATTGAAAACATTTCCAAATGTGTAGTTTGATTGACAAATAATATTTATCAAGTTCACTGTGTTTATCCAAATATACAGAGAAAACAAACAATGTACAACTTTTTTTAAATTTTCGGAGGGGTGTGACTTTTACAGGGAGAGGATTTTCAAAAAATTTAATACCAAAACTCACGTTGATTTTTATCACAGAATCACCCCTTCATATTTTTCGGTGTTGTTTACATACTTCCTATATATACTCATTATTTCTTCACGGTATGGAGAAAGATAAAAGAAATATACAGGGTAATCTAGATCAGTGCGTTGAATCCCTCTGGAACCAATAGGATTTTTTTTCCAATTTACGTGGTTTGTTCTGTTGACATTATTTTTTTTCATAGAATGGATGGAAAAAATTTCAAATCATCATATCTAACAAAAGTATGGTACGATTCAGCTTCGATTTGTTCTTTTCGCATTATTTATTTTTATAAACACATTGCTGAAAGTGAAAGAATTGAAATTCGGAAAAAAATGCTTCCACTGGAAAAAATGCAACAAAGGATTTGTTTCAAGATTTCAAATCGATATACCGGGTGACCAGTTATATTCTGACCCATTCCAACTGCTCATATCTCCGAAACTATTCAAATTATCGTTGTGCGGTTTGGACTTCTCTATTTTGATATTCTTCAAGTTTTTTGACTGGTTCACCTTTTCACCTCAACTTCTGGTTGTACCGGAAACAAACAAGCCACCATTCAGGTATAGGGTAACTTTGATAACATTGCATAATCTCATCAAACCATTCCACAAGCATTAGTTGTTTCAAAGAGTTATAACTCTAATAGTTTTCTAGGAGAACATACTTGTAATACATTGTTAGATAGAGAAGAGACTAGTCTTTCTGAATGTGCAAAAATATACAGGGTGATTCAATGAAATAAAAAAGTTGTCCTATACCTGGATTATTGCTTGTTTGTTTCCGGTGGAACCGGAAGTTCAACTGAGAAGATGAACACCTCAAAAAAAAACTTGAAATACATCAAAATAGACTAGTCCAAACCGCACAACAATAACTTTAATGGTTTCAGAGATATCAGCATTTGAAATGGGTCAGAATATAACTGTTCACCCGGTATCTAGCGAAAGGATGGACCGGTTTGTTCTGTTCACATTATTTTTTCTTATAGAATACATTGCTGAATGCGTAAAAACAAACACCTGGAAAACATGTTCTTTCTACTGAAAAAAATGTAACAAAGGAGAGACCCCTGGAACTTTTTCAAAATTTCAAATCGTCATATCTAGCGAACGAATATCCCGTCAGCTCTGGATTGTTCGGTTCGCATTATTTTTTTTTTTTCATAAAGTGCCAATGACGCAATGTTGTTGATTTATACAATTTTCCCTGTAATTCAGACATCTTTGAAAAATATATCAGCTGAAGGAATTCAAAATCGAAAAGACTTGAAAAATTCACCATCAAGTTTGGCAGATCGATCATCATCATCACTGATATCGACGATAACACATCCATTTTCACCAACTCTGTTCGAATTATCCATTTTTTGTTTTGGCTCCCACTACTTTTCCTGTACTCACTGTTATGCACTACAGTCACAAACTGATTAGAAGAGTATCAACTAACCCATATAAATATTTTCTTCGGCTTCCTTGGTTTGTTCTTATCTCGGTTTACCAGGAATTGATAGGAACCCACCTGATTCAACAAGGTTTCTGCAGAAAGACTAGACCTTCAGTGGTTATTCAGAATAATCTTCTGAAAAAAAAAAGAAGTTTGGCTAGATGTGATTAATTGATTATACTATAGATAGAATCTTCCATTTGGAACCTTCGGCCGTGGTTGATGTGTGATGCTGAATTCTCGATTTGTAAACTACATCAGGATATTCTGGAAATCTCCGCATGGCATTGAGTTGTTTTTCAGAAGATTTTGAACAGATTAAATGGATTTCCCAGTATAGTTAATCAAGGAATTAGGAAAGAACTGTCGAAAGATCATATGAAAATTTCTCGGGTGAAATTTCAATTGAGTGGATTTCAGAAATAACTCCGATTGAATCAACACTTGATTAGCAATATTATATCAATATCATTTGATAATACCGTGTACAGTGGTGTCAATTCACACCTTCATAGTGAAGAACCACACTGATGTGGTAATTTAGAGGGGTTCTGAAATATCCTTTCAAAATTAACACCAAAAGGATGGAAAGTAATTACTTTCGATAGTGGCATTACTCAAGTTGACGCAAAAAATACTACAACTAGTTTCACCCCGAACAATCACGAATAAATCAAAACAGTGTATAAATCATGAGATTTGGGACTAATATAATTAACTCATCGTTTTGCATTCTCCCATGTAAATAAATAATGTTGATAATGTTGAAATAACCCCTTGAGAAACCTAAACTCATTAAGGATGGATAAAAATTGTGTAAGAACTGATGATTTCGTGAAAATAATGCATTAAATTGATTTTAAGTTAATTTATCAACTTTAAATGATGATTTTAAAATTGCGAAGCTATATAGAGTTCTTATATCGAACCAGATTGAGTAAATATCTTGATAGATGGCAACACTAGCGCTCCTTCGACACTTGTTTAATAATAATAATATAAAAATAATTTCATTCATCCTTTATGATCACAGAGTATATGATATAGGATGAGTCATTAAAATAAAGTTCTAAACTGTATATACTCTAACGATAGTATCGCCACGAATATATCTCACTTTCACCAATAGAATCAACTACGTGTTTGGTTTAAGAATTCAGATAAGTCATAATAACTTGCATCACATAATTTTTTTTTGAGTTTTCGCTTGATAATACACTGAAGTTGTTTTCTAATCTCATACAGACTGGCAAACGATTCAAAAATTGGATTCCCTAGTACAGTGGGCTTTTTTCATACAAACTGGTTCCATGTTCTGGTGGCCTAATGAGTTACGAAGATCGAGTAGGGTAATCGTGATACTCACAATTGAGAGAGAAGTGTTTATTATTACTTTTAGCATAGAGAATGCATTTGTATATGTATATAGAATGGAACGTTAGGATTTAATGTTCCTTTGAATGGTTTCGACAAGTTTCTTTACTGTCTAGGTTGAAAATCAGACGTATAATCCTTTTTGGAGATATAAAAACTCTGGATGCGCCTCTTGCACTACCCCAAAGAATGATATTGTAGAAAATATGCGAGTAGACAATAGCGTAGTTGACACTTATCAACTGACTCGTCGAAAAAATATTGTTCAATTGCATAGCAAAATAACCACTATTCAATTTCTTGCAAATGTGAATAATTTTAGTACTCCAACTCATATTGTTGTCGACAAAAAGAACTTTGTACATTTTGAAAAAGAAACCTCAATATTATTAACAGAAATTCGTGTATTTTCAGGCATTTCATTTCTGGTGAAGAACTGCATAGAAATAGTTTTGGCAGAATTGACTATCAGAGAATTTCTCTCACACTACGTGGTAAATTCTGTTGACAAAATATTCACTTTCCTAATCAGTTCATCCGGCGATTCCGCATCAGCATATAAAACCAAATGTTTCATGCTCACGTATTTTGGTGGATCATTCACGTATAATAAAAGAGTTAATGGACCTAGAATTGATCCTTGCGGTACACCAGAGTCCACGTCATATGGAAGGGATCTCTCACCGTCAATTCTTACAATATTTTTTTTGAATTGAAAGTATGATGCAAGCCATGAGAGAAATTTCCCCCGAAAACCTAATTCACTCAGTTTATTAATTGTAGTATTGGTATTAATTGAGTCGAAGGCCTCCGAGAGATCAAAGAACAGTGCACCTACGTACCTTTTCATATCCAACGAAGTATGGATGTAATTGAAAAGTGCAATAGATGCACTCTCCGTTGATTTTCCCAGTAGAAAACCATTTTGATGTTCCGTTATGACATCGTATTTTGAAAGGAATGACAGCATTTGCTTATAGATACACTTTTCTATTATTTTTAATACACTTTGCACCGTAATTGGGCGGAAATTGTCAAAATTCAATTGATTGCCATTATTGAAAATTGGGGTAACGATTCCTATCTTGAGGTCTGACGGAAACGATCCATTTTCTACTGAAAAGTTAATTATATTTACTAAAATTCAGGAGATAAGAGGACCAAGACTTTTGATCACCTTTGTAGAGATGCAGTCAACGCCTTCAGAGTTCACATTTCTCAGAGAGTTTATAGCATCGACTACATCTTCTCGACAGCCTTCAAATAGTATCAGCTCAGAGATGTTTGTAATTTCTCAACTCTCACTGTCGAAACAAATACAAATTTGCTATATACAAATATCCATTTTTTTTATATTGGAAACGGGAGCAGATTCGTTCCCGAAACGTCCAAAGCTAAGTGAAAATTTGATATTTTTTCTATACATATACCTTTATTTTTCTTCTCAAAACATTCTTCAATATACGAATTGTCACTGTCAAGCTAGTGCATCTTTCTTTTAAGCTCTCTGATAGGAAAATTCTTCAAACGCAGTGAGATTTTGGGGCAAATCATCTGATTTGTCCTAACTACACGTATATTGAAATAGTATTAATTTTTTTTTATTTCATAGAGACGAGGAGAGAAAATCTAAAAAAAATCTGGAATAATGAAATTAATTCTTGTTTGAATTCGTTCGTTCAATTCAAGCTCTCTCTAATACAACAAAACCGTTGGTAGACTACTCACTCAAAGAAGGGAGCGATAAAGAAATCCTAACCGGAAACAAGTAATATCTTGTTTATCGCAGAAACAAAGCAATTAATTAATCCATTAACAGGCGCAAATACGTCCAATTTTCTCCCAATTAAAATTAATTTCGAGATTAATTCGGAATGGCTTTCTAAAATAAAGCCAGGCGAACGAGTGGTCGATACAAGATGGGAAAATGCTAGTAGAGTATTAAATTGACTTTTTGTATCATCAGAAGGAACTGGGTCATCATTTTATTCTCTACTAGGAGACCTCGCAAACGTTGTTTTGCTGTAGAAATTATTTCTATTATATATTTTTTCAGTTCAATATTCATCAAAGACACTATTATTATTTTATGTTCTCCTTCATTTCAGTTTCGCTATCTATAAAAGCGTGTTTCTTCAGTTTTTTCTAACTGCCATTAATTTCAACTCCTTTTTAGTTTATTTGAATTTCTCAATTTTGACGAAAGAATCACAATATCCGACTGTTAAAACCCCAGGTGACAAATTTTATAATCATTACAAAACTCGTCCGGTGTATTGATTCCATACCGTCTTAAATTTCCAAATCCCACCCTTTCCAAATTTTGACAAAAGATTCATAATCTTCAATTCCGAAATCACCCAGATAACAATTTCGAACAGAGTCGGATCATAATTACAATACTCTTCCGCCATATTGGGTCCGCCATCTTGAATTTCCCAATTTTGACGAAAGACTCATAATCTCCGACCCCGAGAATCACCAGATACCAAATTTGAATAAAATCGGATCCTAATTACAAAATCCGACATTTCGGATCCGCCATTTTGAATTTCCCAATTTTGACGAAGGAATCATAATCCCCGATCACGAAAACCCCTAGGTACCAATTTTGAAAAGAATCGGATTATCAATACAAAACTCGTCCGCCATATTGGTTCCGCCATCTTGAAGTTCCAAATTCCGCCCGAATTTTCAAATTTTGACGAAAGAATCATAATCCACGACCCTGAAAACCCCCAGATACCAATTTTGAATAGAGTCGGACCATAATTACAAAACTTGTCCGATATTTAGATCCTCCATCTTGAATTTCCTGATGGTACCGGGATAAAAAATATCCTATAACCTTCTCCTGCTTCTAAGCTACCTCACCACCAATTTTCAGCCAAATGGATCAAGTAATTCAAAAAACAATTCAAAGACGATATTCACAATGTGGATCGTTTAACTATCCACAAAGTAGTGAATATAAGGAATTTAGTCTAAATATGGCTTTCTTTCAACTGCTGAATTCAATTGTGATTGTTTTATTTAAGTTAGTTAGCTATTGTCAATTATATTTCATTTTAATTACGCCTACTAATTCTACCGTATTCTATTATAACTCCCACTGTTAGCCTATGTGGCCTTAAAATTGTATATTTACCTTGCTGTATCGTTGTTGTTGTGAATATACATTATTACTATTATTATTATTATTATAGTAGTTTCGGAGACTATTCAATACATACAAACGAACAAACAATAAAATCTTTCCTCTATATAAAATTAGTATAGAAACCTATAGATAAATAATATCAAACAATCGAACTGTAACAGAATTCTTTAGGAGATATAGCTTCTTGAAGTATCTTCATTTTACTCACTTTAATCCATCGTGGAACATCAATTTTCAAACATGGAGTCATGAATTAAAATTTTAGCTTATAGACGACTGGATTCAGTCTCCAGTTCCCATTTTCAAGTTGAAAAATTCAAGCTAGTAGCATCTTTCCAAGAGGGTTCAGCTGAAATTAGCCAGAAAATAGCGAACATTTTCCTCCATTTTTAACTTCCCCTTCCTCCCGCTCCTGTCTTTTCCCAGCGC